AACGATTCTACATGAAAGTAGGATGCGAGGCGTACACCAAGTCGGGAACGATCAATGCCGAATGCTTCATCTTGTATTCTTTTATCCGATGGGACTCACAGCTTACTACAGCCAGCTCTCCTATGGGCAACGAACGAAGTTTCCGATACAATACGAAAACAGACCTCAGCGACACATCCAAAAATTACAAAATATAATAAATGGATTAATTGAACCATTGAAGAAAACCTAGCACAGGCTTTTATGAAGCCTACATGAGCACAAAGAACAGAAAAGGGTCAAAATTGAGGAATGGTCATCTCCCCTTTCACCTAGCCCTGCTCTATTATGCAATTGTAACACTTATTGTTATTGGCACAACACCTGTGAAGCCGGAGGACCAAATATTACAAGCATGACAAGCTTCGCTGCTCGAGCTTCGTGGAAATATCGTCGTGGGAACTTGAACCCTGAACAAAATAGCTATTTATTTATTTTGTAGTTGAAGCAAACAATTTCTTCTTAACATTTGTATCATAAGAGAGAAAAAAGATCAAAATCTGAGACACAGAAAGATTAATCAAACACCGCGCAAACTCGATCTGGCCCCTCCCAATTCTGCCTTATCAGACTACAACACGCATTATTGGCATCATCATTTCACAACAACGCTAATTTGCCACCATAATGACAGTAATACACATCCGAAATTGCTGAGAATACAACGACTATACGCCAAGCGATGAGGTGATCAGCTAGAAAATTAATCGCAAACGAGTAGAAGTAACCAGAATAACTTTGGCATCGATGCGAAAAACGAGAATGGAAACGAATAAACCAAAAGTAAGGAAAAACTTCAGTACTTTACACTATGACTAACGACCAAAATATACCTGCAATTCAATTTCAACAATGTAATAACGTTGGTAACAGCTACAAACAAACATTAGAGTCATATATTTATACTCGACTATTATTGGGTACTCCGTGGTACAACGAGACCCAACTTCTTCGCTTCACTCTCATAAATCAGAAGTCTCCACATCTTAACCACAAACACTTCAGCATCTTCGTCAAGAATCTGGAAAAAGCTCTTTGATCATCATGGTTTCGGGATTTCATTCAACACTTCCAAGAACAAGACAGATAACAAAGGCCGCGGATTCACTGTACCGTAATCCGCGTTAGCATTGGTGCGCGCTGTAGCAAGCATTGGCGCGCCCTTTAGGCGATGCAAGCACCAGCGCTTGGTCAATACAATCTTTTGGCTCTTCGTGCTAATCCTTGCGTCGCCTAAAGGGCGCGCCAATGCTTGCTGCAGCGCGCACCAATGCTAACGCGGATTACGGTAACAGTGAATCCGCGGCCTTTGTTATCTGTCTTGTGACCTTCCAAAAGCTATGACTATACATCAACAAATAAATACTAAATTCCATACGTTTGGAATCTCAGAAAAAATAGGGGGTGTGATTGTTTACAACGCGAAACAAGAACGATTTAACAGCATGAGTGAATTGGTTCCACCGTAATCCATGTTGCACTGGAGCGCGCAATCCCACCGGAGCGCGGTGAAGAGCCCCCTTGATCGTGGTCCTGAGCCTAGAAGCCAGTTCAACGTCCTTATATCCATGACCCGGCCGCGTGCTGGTCTTCCAAACCCCCTCTAACGTTCGCCTTGTCCGCTTAAGCGATGAAGACTAACACAAATCGCGCTCCGTGCGCCCTGCAGGCGAGCAAGGCCCTACTTGCTCTCACGCCCTTGCGGCTGAATCGGCTCATCGTTATAATTCACCTTCCACAGCGATGATGCTCCGATGGTTGACGGCCCTTATTCTTGGTGTAGCTCCGGCTCTCGTCGTGAAGTGTGCAGAGAAAACGACAAGAGGACGTTGAAGGTAAGCCGATATCACGCGACATGCACGTCCACCCGTGAACTTGGTAACGGTGGAACCTGTTCAACCATACCGATAAACCGTTTTTTGTCACGAAAAGCCTAAACCTATATAAAGACACGCCGGCATAGCTACAACAAGCTGATTCAAAAGCTCAAACTTCCCTGCAACTTTTTCCTGTAACCCCTCTGGCCTCCAACAGGATCTTGGCCATGGGCCATAAAGGAATGTGTTTAAAGAGTAGCCCCTGTTCTCGAAACACTCATGGCACTGTAACGAAACCTCCCGGAGAACTGTTCAAGATGGAAACTTTGAACATTGTTTTCAGGAACTGCACTGATGGTTTTCAATTGTTCTCCATTTTCAAAGTGGCAGCGATGCAAATTAACTGCTTAGGCACTAGAAGGAGGCTCTATCTACAAGGGATGGACTGGTAGGTTGAAGTGGCCATCTCGAGAACTGACAATGTATAGCCGCCTCTCCTGATGCGTCTCCAGACGCTGATTCCGAAATCTGCCTTCCAAATCTGCTAAACGACTCTCCGAACGGAGTTATGAAGCGTAATAGCTCAGTGGTGATGGTCCGGGGTGGCAGGTAAAAGCTCGTAGGATCGGTTCCTTTGCAAATTGGTTGCTTTGCTTTTGTCTCTAGAAGTGTTGCGGACAAAAGCAAAGCAACAAACTTGCAAAGGAACCCGATCCTGAGCTTTTACCTGCCACCCCGGACCATCACCACTGAGCTATTACGCTTCATAACTCCGTTCGGAGAGCCGTTTAGCAGATTTGGAAGGCAGATTTGGAATCAGCGTCTAGAGACGCATCAGGTGGTATACATCTCATTTTATACGGCCACTTCGACCTACCATCCTTTCCTTGTAAGATCTAACATTCACATGAAGCTCCTTTCTATTCCATTCAACTCCCGCAATGCTCTACCCTCAACCTTTCCGAATGTTTTCAGCCTTGACTACTCTGCTTCACCGGAAGAAGTAACCTCGATCCCCTCTCCCAAACGTCTGATATGCAAACTAGGCAAGCCTGACAACTTGAGCTTCTATGCGATATGTTATATTTGGGCATATG